CTCTTCTTCCATTTCCATTTATTTCTTTCTGTTTCTTTTTTTTTATTTTCTTCCTTTTTTTTTGTTTGTTTTTCCTCTTCTCACTTATTTTAGTTTTATTGCTCGGGCATTTTATTGCACAAATTTTAATATTTATTTTTGCTGTTGGTTTATTTTCCCCTTCTCCCATCAATGCCTGGAAGGCAGGGTACACTGTGTGTGTATGTGTTGCTTTGATTGTATGGCTGCATACCCAAGCCCCCCATGTGAGAGAGAGAGATGCTTTGTTTGCTGTCTGCTCTGCGTTTAGTTAGCGTTTTTCCAACTGCATGCTGGCTCCCATTTTAATGTTTAACAAACTTGAATGCCGCTGCTGCTGCTGGGGTTTTTGGCGTTTGGAACAACCAAACAAACACTAAAGAAAACACAAACGAAATTCTGGTCTTTTACCTCTCTTGATGTTTGTGCGAAAAGTTTTTGCGGAAATTATTTTAAATTTTTAAAGAGGTTTTCTTCTGCTGCTGTTCATTTTAAGAGTTTTTCTTCGTTGTTTTCAGATTCTATTGGTCAGCTTTTGATTGGGTTGTTCTGCGCAGCACTAGGACGTGAACTATTACGAGTATAAAGAATTGCATATACAAATAACACTGACTTTTTGTTTTAAGATGTGCAGAGAATGAAAATAAAAATCTTGCTTCTTGTTTTTTTGGTTTATTTATTGTTCAGAGCCACCACGAGCCAACAATCGTATTCTTCACGTGGAAAACATCGTACAAATGTTTAGATTTACGTATAAAAGGGGTAAGAAAGTAAAATCTAAATGTTTTTAATGCCAATTGGCTTCAAATGTTGCAGGAGTTGCAGGTTTACTTATTACCTGTTGGGTCCTGACTGTTAGGGATCTCATGGGATGATTTTATTAATCATTCAGGAGAATATATCATTGGGAATAATGGAGATAAACTATGTAGGTATGTAGATAAACTGTGTGAATTGATTGCTGCCTGGTATACGATTTAGAAGACATACTAAATGGAGATGTGGCAGCCCAAAAAGCAATTGAGTGCCCTGGCGATATATCGTTATGATTTCGAGTTATAAGCTACAATTTTCGATTGTTCCAATCAAGTTTAAGTTCTGTTAGCCCCTCTCTAAGTAGTATAATCGCTTGCTCGCTTTGATCTTTTGTGTGTTTCGGCTCAAGTTAAGCTTTAAAGCGATTGTCAGCCAATTATTGCACTCTGGCAGGGCCATCGTCTACTCGGCACTCGTTCATTTAAATTACAATTTATTAATTTCACAGTGAAATCTTTCAGCATTTCAGACATTTTACTGTCGCTGGCTGGACGCTGGCGCCATGGCAACCTCATTACAGGAGAGGGAATCGTATTGTAAATAATAATTTGCTCGGGCTTACAAGGGCATTTTTTGCGCACTTAGCGTATGCAGGAATTTATGAATAAATCATTTGATCAGAGAGCCAGAGGACTGGACTCGTGCTCCCCTCCGCACTCCGGTGACCAGTCGTCCAGGCCATTGGATGACCTCTTCAGCGGATAATATGCAATATGCATATGACGCTCGCGATGGGCCAGCCAGGTGCCGACTGACGTGAAGCTTGTGCTGTGTTGAGTTTTAATTAATCGAGAGAGCTCATAAAAATATTTAAATATATAAAAAGTCCAGCCACCCGCTGTGTGAGGGGGGCCCCATTTTGGGGGGATTCAGTGCGGGGCTTCTGACAGTTCAAGCGCTCTCGGCAGAATCCCAATGCCATGAATTAATGGCTTCGAGGCGGCATATAAAAATAAATGAAACACACAGGGACTACTGCAAGGATGTCCTTGCGCCAATATTAAATTATTTTTTCGTTCTTTTGTGCGGGCGTATTTAATTTGTAATCGCAGAAGGATTTAATGGCCGGATTTTCACAGGCCAAACTAATTTCTGTGAAAATGTGTGTAAAGGAAAACTATAGATAAAATTCAGAAGAAGATTTCTTATGATTTCGAGAATCGATTGAAGAGTGTGTTCTCTAAGCAAGAATATATAATCCTACTGGATTGGATTCTGATCTCTGAGGGGACTGAGGAGCAACATCTAAAGGCACTCACAATTTTCAGGACACGTAACTCCGCCTTGCCTTATTTAAATGGGTTGTAGCCCTTTATTGATCGCATAACCAAGTGCTCAAGCACTCAAAATCCTGCCCCACATCCGCTTATCCCTTTACTCCTTTCGTTCTCCTGCAGCACACACACACACAGACACGCACACACACACACACACGAACAATGAAATATGTTTCACCAAAACTGCAATCAAAGCGACATAGCACAAATTTTACAGATTTTTGCACATTAAAAATATGCTTGCAACTCCAGCAGCAGCAGCAGCACACACACATATGGCCAACGGCTTTAGTGTGCCAAAAAAAAAAAAAACATGAAAAAAAGAAGCTTCAGAAAAGTTTATGCCAAAAAAAAAAAAATAGGGGGAAAAAAGTAATCGAGGAACACAGGAGCATCTGCCTGGCAGGACTTTGTGGCAAATGCTGGCGATGCTGCTGGTATGCTGCCCTGCCACATGCCGCATGCCACATTGCCCCATGCAAACGCTGCAACGCTGAATTTGATAATCAATTACCGTGCCATAGCCTGCAGGGGAGATCAGAGCAGGAAGAACGCTGCAGCTAGAACGTTGGAGCCACACATATGGGCCACATTTAGGAGAGCAAAAACGACAGACAGAGAGACAGAGAGACGACCGCATGGCGGACAGAAAAACACAAGTAAATTCCAAAGAATACACTTGACTTTGGTGGTTGCACACAGAGCGAGTAGCACGGCACGTATGAGTAATATTGGGGAGATTGTCTATGGGCCATGAGGTTGCAGCAGCTTGCAGCACTGAAGCAGGTTTCAGGTGGTAATGCATACACCACTCGCATAAATAACCAAATTCTCTTACATCTGTTGAAGTTTTCATTACAAAACTACAAATTGGCTTCTGGTCTGTCCTTTGTCCTTGTCCAAAACCAATTAATGCTAAATGCCGAAAAATTCTAGAAATCTTATTTACGACAAACGATTTATGGGACATTCTCTGTGATATGCAGAAATAAATTGAATTTGCCAGCATGGGGAAAAGTTTTTATTTTTTAATGGTTTTTTACAGAGATGTACAGAAGGAAACTCCATTCCGTTGCTTCCAATTGCTTTGGATTGCTTTCAATTAGAGTTTGCTGTATTTTTTTCTTGTGCTTCTTGTCATTAATTGACGCTGCTGTCAGCTTTGGCAGCAATCCACTTAATGAAATCATTTAATCAGAGAACCACACACAGTGCAGTGCGACAATCGTGCCACAAAGTGGAAATGAAAGCTCATTGAAGGCTCAGCACTAGAACACATGTTCAATTTATGCACTACACTAATCAATGCTGGCTCTCTGCGTGCTTCAAGCTACACTCTGCGCCTCCATGCCCCATGCTCCTCTACTCCGTCTAATGCTCCACTGCCACACTCTGTGCCCCGCCTTGCTTCAAAGCTCTGGTTTGAGACACTTAGGGAATTGCGGCCCGCCAACAGCTGTCCTTAATTACATGGAAATCCACACTAGAGGTCCCACACCAACAAAGAGAAGTCCCCATAGAGTCATTCACCTTGCCATCCAAAAATGGAGAACAAAAAAAGAAATGGGCATCGCAGGGTAGCTTTAGATGTCGTCTCTTTAGATACCCTAACAATTTCATTTATTTTATGGTCAGACATATTGAGACTTGCTTTCTGGCTGTTCATTTATCTGCCACTCAATCAATCAGGCAGAAATATCCAATAAATATTTATATATACTATCTAAATATCTCTTTGCTTATCATTTGAAAGAGCATCCACAAAAATTAGCAAGAGAAACAAGAAAAAAATGGGCAAAGCAGGCAGAGCTGCGCCACAAATCGAAATCAAGTGAATATAACATATTATTTCAACAGGCAGCTCCCTCCTCATTCATTCAACATATAATATTACCACCCATTGCGATGCATGTAGCTGGTGTATGTACGTGGCCCCACAGGAAAGGGTGGAATGGGATGGGCTGGGCTGGGGTGTACGTCTAGGGGGTTGGTTGGCAGTGTGGGGGGTGGGGACATCCGCGAGTAGGCCTGCTGAATTGAGGTGAATAAGCGGCGCACAGCACATTCCACCCACTAAAAGGCAAACAAAGGGAAATCAATCTTTGTACATACTTTTAGCATATGCACACGGTATATCCTCACACACATACACACACATACTAACACACACTAACACACATATGCGATGAGTCCATGTGTGTACTGGTTGGTTGTGGGATGAGGGGGGGAATTGGGGATTATTTGCATGCCTTTTGTGTACTTTTTCCATATGATTTATGACCTAAATTGTTGCTGTTGCTCACACATATATAATTACACGTAGACACACACACCGATACCATATGTGTGTGTGTGTGTGTGCGTTGTCTTGGGACGCCCGCCAAAGTATGCTACACTTTTTGTTTTGTTTTGTTTTATGAGTTAATAAGTAGGCGTGGCAACACACACGCCTTGATGATAGTTTCTGGTACACGGATATCCCAACGGATAAAGGTGGAAATATTGAATGGGGAGTGGGGGGTGGTCTAGCAATGTAAAAATTTCATTTTCTATGCGTATTTTTAAAACGCTTGACTAAACAATTTGACGAGGGATTTGCCATGATTTAGTTCAAGTTTAGGCCTGATTAAACCACGCACCAGCAAAAAACAAGAGCGGCTGGCTAGCAAATGCTCTCAGCGGCGTGGAAAAAGGTCACAAGCAATGACCTTCCTGCCGTCGAAGCAACGCCAAATGATGTATCAGCAGAATGTCAGCCAACGGATTAGGTCAATCCACGCCAGGTAATCCCTTTGCTGCTGCTGGTGCTGCTGATTTTGCATTAATCCCAATGCCTAATCCAATTCCAAATGAGAATATAAAGAGCCGTGCGCGAGCGTTGCTGTGATTTTGTCTTGGCCCAAAAGGCCGAGAATGGAGTACCACAACGCGAGTAATTTTCTTGGCAATGTGTCCAGTGTGCTGCGTCCGGATGCGCGACTATCCGCGGAGTCGCGTCTGCTGGGCTGGAATGTGCCGCCGGATGAACTGCGTCACATACCCGAACACTGGCTGTCATATCCGGAGCCGCCGGAGTCAATGAACTATCTGCTGGGCACGCTCTACATCTTCTTTACGGTCATCTCGATGCTTGGCAATGGCCTCGTCATCTGGGTCTTCTCCGCGGCCAAGTCGCTAAGGACACCATCGAACATTCTCGTGATCAATCTGGCCTTCTGTGACTTCATGATGATGATCAAGACGCCCATTTTCATCTACAACAGCTTCAATCAGGGCTATGCCCTGGGACACCTGGGCTGTCAGATCTTCGGCATCATTGGCTCGTACACGGGCATAGCGGCGGGTGCGACGAACGCCTTCATCGCCTACGATCGCTACAATGTGATCACACGGCCCATGGAGGGCAAGATGACGCACGGCAAGGCCATTGCCATGATCATATTCATCTATCTGTATGCGACGCCCTGGGTGGTGGCCTGCTACACGGAAACCTGGGGCCGTTTCGTGCCCGAGGGATATCTCACGTCGTGCACCTTCGACTATCTGACGGATAACTTCGATACGCGTCTCTTTGTGGCGTGCATATTCTTCTTCAGCTTCGTCTGCCCCACCACCATGATCACGTACTACTACTCCCAGATTGTGGGCCATGTCTTCAGCCACGAGAAGGCGCTGCGCGATCAGGCCAAGAAGATGAATGTCGATTCGCTGCGCTCGAATGTGGACAAGAGCAAGGAGACAGCTGAAATTCGCATTGCCAAAGCGGCCATCACCATTTGTTTCCTGTTCTTTGTGTCGTGGACGCCATACGGCGTAATGTCGCTCATTGGTGCCTTCGGGGACAAGAGTCTGCTCACACCCGGCGCCACAATGATACCCGCCTGCACCTGCAAAATGGTGGCCTGCGTCGATCCCTTTGTGTATGCCATCAGTCATCCCAGATACCGCATGGAGCTGCAGAAGCGCTGCCCCTGGCTGGCCATCAGCGAGAAGGCCCCAGAATCAGCGTCCGCTGTCTCCACCAGCACCACCCAGGAGCAGCAGCAGCAGCAGCAGCAACAGCAAACGACGGCCGCCTAAAACCAAACATGACAATGATGATGAACTGCATGACCACCCCACCCAACCCCCGTTGACGGAACACGAGCTCGTAATACAAAATGCCATGGTACAGAAAATTCTATAAAAATTCAAAGTCTTTGTGCTGAACAAATGTGTGTGAAATATTTTATGATTATGATTTGTAGCTATTGTTTTTGTTGGGTGTTAAATAATCAAATAAATAGTGAATTATTGCAAGTAAAAAGGCGCAGAGGGTATCGTTCAATCAATGTGCAATGGCTGGTGGCTGGTTTCCACCATTTCCCCTAACACTTTCCTTAATCAACATTCTTTCATTCTGCTGCTACATTCCAGTGCCCGTGTCCGTGCCCCTGCCCTGTCCTGCCCTGTCCCCTGCCATTGTCTGTCAAGTTCTGTCGGTTGGCACTTGACGTTGCCTTTTGCGGGTCACTCAGACGAGCCGAAACCGAACTGCCTTCAACTGCCGGTACATTGCCCACAAGTAAAGACAGACAACAACAAAAGCATTGGCCAAGACTCGCCGTAAAATGTGGGCAAAATGTCAAAAATGTTGTCCCAGTTCCAGCACACAACATGCAATCCACAAAAGCTCGCTCTTCGGCTCTGCCGCGTTCTCTTACGCTCTCTTTCGCTTGAAGAGAGCGCAAGTTGTGAGACTGGAATGCGCTTGCGCTTTGTGCCGTGAATTAAAGTCCACAGGAATAAGTCTAAGCAACTACAAAAAATATGGATTCCACATGGACTTTACTTGCTACGAAAATACCTGCACGTGCTCCCCAGGGACTCCATATGACTTGGGCTCCACATGGACGCCACATGGACGCCACTTGGCATCCACGGACATTTATCAAAAGCAGCAAAAAGGCAGCAGCTAAAACTGCACTTGGCCACAAAACGATGCCTAGATTTTCAGTTCTATCACACACACACACACACAGACAGAGCATCCACATGGCCGCCTTGTGGCTGACTTTATTCCACGCTCGTCGCATCGTCAATGGCATTTAACAATTTGTTTGGCCAAAGTGTTGCACCGTGTGTTTGTGTGGCGCCTCATTATTATTGTTTTCGCCAGCTACCGCAGTTCTTTCACTGCCACACCGCACTCTGTCTCTCCCACTCCCTCTCTATCTCTCTCTCTATCTATATCTCTGTGTGTTTTAACCCACTCTCCCCCTTTATCCCGAGTGCTTCCCTCAACCGGAGGTTTTTACTTGGTACCTAGCACGCTTTTCCACTTATTGCCTGGCGGGCATTTGCCAGATCCTTTTTCCTGCGTCGTTCTGTGGCGAACCCAAAACCGCATTCAGACAGACAAACAGACAGACAGACAGACAGCAAGCGAGCGAGTGGGCGAGTGGGCGAGTGGGCGAGTGAGCGAGCGCAGGAGCGAGGCCATAAACCAAAATCGGCCGCAGCCACCGACGACGCTCGCAAAATGGTAAAAACGAAGCAAAATTAATGAAAATCACACAAACATACAGAAACAGCCACACACAGACACACATAAAAACAGACACGCACACAGACAGCAGTTGGAGATGGAAGCAAAAAGGGCGATGGGGCTGCAGGGGAAGAGACAATTAAAATGGCACCCACAGAACGTCCTTGCAGCCTCACACACAGAGAAACAGATAGTGAGAGACGGAGACAGAGACAGAGAGAGAGTGAGAGACAGAGAGAGTGAGAGACAGAGAGAGTGAGAGAGAGAGAGAAGCAGTGAGTGAGTGAGTGAGTGAATGCCGCCAGGCAGCTACCACACCACAGCAGCAGCAGCAGCAGCAGCACGGGGCAGCACATTTGTCTTCCACGAAATTCGCTTTGGCTCTCATTAATTAAGATAATTAGGCCTTTTCGACGCCTTCAAAGTTCAACCAAAAAAAAAAAAGAACATCCATGCAGCAGGAGGAGCAGCAGCAGCAGCAGTAAGACTCGTAAAGGAGCCTACGAAGGACGTAGAACGACGCATTTAGTGACAGTTCAAAGTTCGTTGTGTGTACGAAATCGGCTTTAACCATGTCTCTCTCTCTCGCTCTCGCTAATGTGGCTTGTGTGGTTACGCTTGCAGGTCCTGCTCCTGTTTGCCGTGCCTATTCGTGGTACTGGAGACTGGCCATGGAGGTGTAGGGCCTACAATTTGCTCGTATACATCACGTGGGCACACTCACACACACCATTCTCGAATCCCTTTAATGAGTGGTTAGTGGCACGCTCACTCGCCTGCTCAAGAAGGTCTCCCTCCGCTCCCTCCGCCACTTTGTGACATTCCGACAGCGCAACAGCGATAGAAAAACAGCGGCTTGCACTCCAAAAATTTGTCATCGACTTAGCTTGGTCACCACTAAGTCGAGGGGATTAAAAACTCCACCATTTATGTGACAATTAATGCATCAACTTTTATATTCTACCCATGGCAGCTACTGGCAAAGGCTAATGTCTTTATTTGAAGTATATTTCGATATTCCTATGCTTGCTACATTTCATAATTCTTACACAAAGTTTCAGCCAATTACAAAGTTGCTTGTAATTTGATATTCATATTCATACTCGTGGCATGCCCCTTTGATGCGAAAAATGTATTTCCCTTTGAGTGACAATTTCTTTTTATGCTTGTATCTTTTTTTTATTTTGCATATTGCCCCAAAAAACTGATTAAAATCACATGCAGCAGCAGCAGCAGCAGCAGGAGCTGCACTTTCCGATATCCCATAAAAATGTCAGCTAAATTAGTTATAAATCAGCGAGGGGGAGGGAGTGGGAGCCACCACCAACAGGGCGACTTGAAATGCACAAGACACAAGCAGCAGCGCCACAGCACACAGCACAAAGCTCTCCACAACTTTGTTAAGCTCAAAATGAAGCCATAAATTATACGAACTAATAATTATATGCCATCAAATTGTTGTAAGCAAAGTGAGGAGTCAGTGGCAGTGGCAGAGAGAGAGAGCGAGAGGCAGAGGGGCTAAAGCCAAAGGCGAAAGGCGGAAGGAAGGCTGAAGTCAGCGCCAGCGAGTTTAACGGCCAAACATAAATTATAGACATTTAAAAAAAAAGGAATGGGGTATATATACGGCATGGGGAGAGGCAAATCCACGTTCATCTAGCTCGCGGCTGGCAGGCAGGCAACGGCAACGGCAACAGCAACGCCGCATGGAATATGCGATTTTTATCACAGTTTATGCACTGCACACAAAGTCAACATAATAAGGTCAGCACGCACCAGGACTAAGGACGAGCACGAGCACGAGATGAAGCAGGCCACCGCCTGGCTGTTGGCCTGGTTGGGTGTAGGTGTCGGTGTCGCTTTAATTAAATGGCAAACATCCCGAGCCAAATGCGCGTCAGAGAGCAAAGTTCGAGGTCAGTCGGCAGTCAGCAGTCGACAGTCGCCAGCCATGATGAACACGGCAATTTCGTTTTGCTCCTCCCTCCGCCCACCATTCCGCCCATCTCACGTTATTTTTTTTGTTTACAGTCGAGCAATTTGCAACAAAATTAGCCCCCCGAAAAGCGTTAACCCGGCCATGGCCCGTCGAGTAGAGTACCCATAAACAAAAGATTGGGTTAAGCGACTGTACTGACTGTGCCTCTGTGCCTCCTGTATACACAATGGGCGTGGCCTTCAAATGGCATACGTCTAAGTGACTCTCCATCATGACAAATGCCTCGTTGCCACCTTCTTCGACTGCTGCTGGTGATGCTGCTGCTCCTGCTGCTCCTGCTGCTCCTGCTGCTCTTCCTCCTCTCCTTTCTGGCCATATCCTCTCATCCAGAAGTATCTTTGCAGTCGTTAAGTTGCTAGGATGTAGGATCGCCAAAAAAAGAGCGTTTAAATTTTGTAATTTAAATGCAAATTGACAGGCAAATGACAAACATTGCAATTAACGAGGGACTAGCGGGCGTATACGCAATGTGGCCACAGACAGAGGCGAGTCCAAAAAACGGGGCATGGAACTCCACTCCACTCCACTCAACTCCGCCTGGACTCAACCAGCCAAAAAGCGACTCTCCGAAACAGGACATAATTTAGGCCCTGCTACGTGAAGCTCTAAAATTGCTGGAGAACGGTCTGGTCTGGTCTGTGGCAGGCAGGCGTACGTACAGTATTATACACGTACACGTAGAGTGGGTGGGCTGCTGCTGCTGCTGGTTGCTAGGGGTATGCTGGGTTGGTGTTCGGAGGATTGGTAATGGGAATATGCAAAACTTTTCTCTGGTTAGCGAACGGTCGCTGCATTTGCAAGTCATACTTTGGAGTGGTTCTGGCCTCGACTGTGGTGGGGGGGGCAGACACAGCTCGAAAACAATTGAATGACAAGACTCCTGAAGCGGCCATGGCATGGGCTTCATTTCCAAAATGTCGTGCATAAAACTCGCACGACATCAAGAGCGAGCTTCACGTGCAGTAAAAATTAAGTAATAATCCAGAGTTTAAGCAGAAATGTTTTTCAATTTAATATGCCAAATGCAGATGCTAATATTCTGCAAGAATTTAAATTAGATTTATCTGCCGAGCAGTGTATTTTTGTTTTTAAATATCTTTAGTCTGTTGATTTGCTCCAAGTTCTTATCTAGTTTATTTCAAATTCAATTGCGAATTTTGTCTCCTTTTTTTCTGGCAATTGAATGTCGAGTCCTATGCAAATGAAAAACATTTTGTTCGCCCGCATGCAAATAATTGCATCAAAGTTTTTGTTGGCCAGGACATGACCTGCTGGCTTTGCACTTTGCCCTTTGCCCTTAAGTACTCTCTCTCTCTGTCTCTCTCTACCACTCTCTCTCTCTCTACCAAAACAAGTTGATTTTTTGCGACTAGGAAGTGGAAATGACACCAACTGCATTGCGGCCCCAGCAGGCGCGTCAAAAAGTATTCGTTTTGAGGACTTCTTATACACAGTTTTTGTTTTGTGTTTTTGTTTTCCATTTTAGTTGCCTTTCTTCTTGTTGTTGCTGGGGGTAAAAACAATAGAACAAAGTGTTTGCCTGTCTGAGGCAGGCACTTGGCTGGCGGCCAAGGCAAATGCATGAGCTGCTCTGTACACACATAAATAAGCAGGCAACATCTCCATTTCCTGGCCCCGCACCGCCAAAAAGTGCTTTAAGTGGGTGGAGGGTCCCAAGGGGTAGACATTATAAAAATGCCAACTATTCGCATTAATTATACGAAAATTGTTCATTGTTCGCTGTTGTTTTTAATCGTATTAATCGCATGGCAAAAGGACC